GAGGGGAGGAGGAGGGGAGCAGAGTAAGACTGCCTTTATTTTGCGCAAGGAATGGCTGGTGTGTGTGTGTGTGTGTGTGTGTGTGTGTGTGTGTGTGTGTGTGTGTGTTAGGGAGAGGAAGTTTACTGGCCTGTTTCGACCGGGCAGGGGTGTGAGGTGTGGGCGTGTGGCAGGGATGGGTGGAGGTGTGGGCGTGTGGCAGGGATGGGTGGAGGTGTGTGGGCGTGTGGCGGGATGGGTGGAGGTGTGTGGGCGTGTGGCGGGGTGGGTGGAGGTGTGGGCGTGTGGCGGGGGTGGTGAGGGAATGGGCGTGTGGGGATGGGTGGAGGTGTGTGGGCGTGTGGCGGGGATGGGTGGAGGTGTGTGGGCTGTGGCGGGTGGTGAGGGGTGGTGGGCGTGTGGGGATGGGTGGAGTGTGTGGGCGTGTGGCAGGGGTGGGTGGAGGTGTGTGCGCGTGTGGGGGTGGTGAGGGATGGGCGTGTGGCAGGGGATGGTGGGGAATGGGCGTGTGGCAGGGATGGGTGGAGGTGTGTGGGCGTGTGGCGGGGTGGGTGGAGGTGTGGGCGTGTGTGGGGGTGGGGTGGGTGTGTGGGCGTGTGGCGGGGGTGGTGGGGGTATGGGCGTGGCGGGGGTAGTGGGGGCTATGGGCGTGTGGCGGGGTGGGTGGGTGTGTGGGCGTGTGGCGGGGTGGTGAGGAATGGGCGTGTGGCGGGGTGGTGAGGGAATGGGCGTGTGGCAGGGGGTGGTGAGGGTGTGGGCGTGTGGCGGTGAATGAGGGGTTAGGGGGAGAGGGTGGTGTAGGTGGTTCATGTGTTCAAGTGAATGTCAAGGTGTGGGAGAGAAAGGAGAAGGTGAGAAGTTGAGAAGGAGGGGGGGAGAAATCAGGTAGGGAGGGAAGGGTAGAAGGAAGGGAAAAGGAGTGATAGGGAGAAAGGAGGGAGGAAAAATGGGGAGAAGTCGGGAGGGAGGTAAGGGTGGAAAACAGGAAGGGAGAAGTCAGGGAGGGAGGGGCAAGGAGAAACTTATACTAGTCGTCTGGGGGGAGAGGGGAGGGAAGACGAACTCCAGGTATGGTCAGGGGTTGAAGGTCAAGCAGGGAAGGGTCAACGTGTCACTACACACCTAACCTAACCTAACCCAACTTAACCTAACCCTTCCTAACCTTACCCAACAACCTAACATCCTATCATCAACCCAACCAACCCTATCTCTAACTTTACCCAACAACCTCCCAACATAACCTAACCCATCCTAACCTAACCCAACTTAACTAACCCTTCCTAACCTAACCCAACAACCCAACCCTCCTAACCAACCTAACCAACAACCCTTCCTAACCCACAACTTAACCTACCATCCTAACCTAACCCAACTAAACCTAACCCCCTAACCTAACCCATCTATCCTAGCAACAACCTACATCTAACCTAACCATCCTAACTTCCAACTTAACCTAACCCTTCTAACCCAACCCATCCCTATCCTACCAACAACCTAACCCTTCTAACCTAACCCAACAACCCAACCCCTTCCTAATCTAACCCAACCAACCTAACCCTTCTAACCTAACCCAACAACTTAACTAACCCATCCTACAACAACCAACCCAACCTTCCCCTAACTTCTTAACCAACCTAACCCTTCCTAATCTAACCCAACTTAACCTAACCCTTCCTAACCTAACCCAACTTAACCTAACCCTTCCTAACCTAACCCAACTTAACCCCAGTTCACAATAAAACTAAAGGACTTTACATTATTCACAGGTGTATAAATCAACGAAAAAATAATAATCTACTGTACATCCCCTTAAAAACGTTCCGAATCACCTGAGGATTAGACACCCCGGCTTATGTTACCTTATCATTTACCACCCTAATGCTACGTAGGGGTTGTTAAGAAGGTTAAGTTAAGTTAGATTAGGTAAGGTTAGGTTACTTTAGGTTACATTATATTAGGTTAGATTAGGTTAGGTTAGGTTACTTTAGGTTACATTATATTAGGTTAGGTTAGATTAAGTTAGGTTAAAATTATATCACGTTAATATGTAGTGTAAGGCTGTTGTAATAATCAGGTGAGGGGGGTGTCTAATCTTCAGGTGACCCAACATTCCTTACATACCTAATACCACTACAGACTCCTGAAAGCACACACACACAATACACCTTTCAAATTTCTGGTGTGAATCTTTCCAGTGATCGAGAGGCAGTTGCGTGGCCGGGCATAGCTGGAGGTTAGGAGTGATGGTGGCGTGTTAACGGAGGGTGTACTTTCCCTGTGGGCGGTGGTGGGTAGGTGGTGGGTAGGTGGGTGGTAGTGGTAGTAGGCAGAGGGTGATGGTGGTGATGGTAGGTAGAGGGTGGTAGTGGTGATGGGTAGGGAGTGGTAGTGGTGGGTGGGTGGTAGTGGTAGTAGGCAGAGGGTGATGGTGGTGGAGTGGTAGAGGTGGTGATGTATGCAGAGGTGGTAGTGGGATGGGTAGGGGAGTGGCAGTGGGTGGTGGTAGGTAAGTAGAGGGTGATGGTGAGATGGTAGGTAGAGGGTGGAGATGGTATGCAGAGGGTGGTAGTGGTGATGGGGAGGAGCAGGGTGGGTGGGTGGTGAGGTGGGTGGTAGGGGTGGTGGTAGAGGGGGTGATGGTGGTGATGGTAGAGGGTGGGTGATGGTATGCAGAGGGTAGGGATGGGTAGGGAGGAGTGGGGGTAGGGGTGGTGGTAGGCAGAGGGTGATGGTGGTGATGGTAGGCAAGAGGGTGATGGGTGATGAGTGAGGGGTGGTGATGGGTTGCAGAGGGTAGGAGATGGGTAGGGAGTGGTGGTGGGTAGTGGTGGTAGGCAGAGGGTGATGGTGGTGATGTGGTGGGAGGGTGGTGATGGTATGCAGAGGTGTAGTGGTGATGGGTAGGGAGTGGCAGTGGTAGGTGGGTGGTAGTGGTGGGTAGGGTGGTGGTAGTGGTGGGTACGGGTGGTGGTAGGTAGAGGGTGATAGTAGTGGTGGGTAGGTGGGTGGGTACGCCCCCGGTAGTGGTGGGTAGGGAGGTAATAATGGTGGGTAGGGTGGTAGTAGTAGTGGGCAGGGGGTGTAGTGGCAGGTGGGGTGAAGAGGTGGGTAGGGGTGGTGGTAGGAGGTGATAGGAATGGTGTTAGGGTGGTGGGTAGGGAGTGGGTAGTGGCAGGTAAGGGGTGGTGGTGGTAGGTGTGGCAGGTAGGGGTGGTGGTGGTGGCAGGTAGGTGGTGGTAGTGGAGGTAGGGGTGGTGGTGGTAGTGGCAGGTAGGGGTGGTGGTAGTGGCAGGTAGGGGTGGTGGTGGTAGTGGCAGGTAGGGGTGGTGGTGGTGGCAGGTAGGGTGGTGGTGGTAGTGGGCTGCGTGTACCATTGAGTGAGTTTGGGGTGATGTATTCTGGTGATGTGTGTCTGACTCCCACCTCCCTCAGTATATAAGGGGTACTATCCATCACTTATTGTTGCTAGGAGAAAGCACACACACACACACACACACACACACACACACAACAACACACACACACACACAAGGAGGACCCAGTAGAGCACCAACACGACACCTCCGCCAGGACTTCAACGCCCACTAGATACCAACCCACAATACAACAGCCAGAAGGTGACAGAATTTCTTATATAAAATGTCTATCTCAAGGGAAGTGGGTTCAAAGTTCATTTCAGTTCGTTCTTTACACGTATCTGGATTCGCAAAGGTTCAATTTTCCTCTTAGGCGGACTGAAAGACACCCCCCCCCCTCACACACACATACAACACAGGGGTCACAACTCAAAAACATTATCAACATAACTTCGTCTCATAAATAAATCAAACTTAAAATCTCAAGGCAGTTTTCACACCAATTTAGAACTTATATGTACGCCATAATTCACCCAGACAGTATGCTCCGTTCTCATAAACTCATCCTCCAAAAAAAAAAAGAAAAAAAATACGAACATCTAAAAATCCAGTTCACGATGATGTTGTTAAGTCTCGGTAAATCTAGTCATATATTTTTCCAACAACGGCTGGGTGACAGAATCCTGATTACACTGTTTAAAATAAATCACAAAGCGGAAACCACATTACTACTGCCTGACTCATTGCTTACTATATATTTATCCATTATAATATTTTACTCTATTATTTACTATATTTATTGTGTGTAATTATATTTTATTAAGTTTCAATTCTATATATTAACGTCTTTTATATCAATTTAGTATCATGAAAAAGTTGACTACACAGAGTTAAATAACATCTAAGTATTGGCCAGAACTACATACCATATCCCTCCACCTATCCTGCCTTTTCACATATCACCTACCCAGTCCTTCCACCTATCCCCTGCCCACCACCTACAACCCCATAAATCAACTTAACTAAACTAATTCACTTCAAACAGCTTGCAAATGAAAAACAAATCAACTTAAACAAACCTCGTGAATAAAAAACTGATTGTGATTGAGAAGACGTAGGTTAGATTAAATAACAAAAAAAAAAAAAACAACAACCCAAACAAACACAACAAAAACAACCCAAAACAACAAAACAAAACAAAACAAACCCAACGGGTAATTATACAACGAATAATCACCAGATTATCAAAATCCAATATACCTTTCCGTCGCCAGGTCTTCATTCATTAGTTATTAAATTATATTCATCTAAGCGGCTGTTTTTTGTTGGCATACGATGGTTGAGCATTTGTAGATTGTATGACGATTTTACTGAATATTTGTCTGTCTGTCAATCTATCTGTCCATATATTTCTGTCAGTCTATCTTTCTGTCTGTCTACCTTGTTTATCTAGCTTTCTGTCTATCCGTCTACCTGTCTGTGTGTCTATCTGCCTGCCTGTCTTTCAATGTCTATCTGTCTGACTATCAATCTATCTATTTTACGTACCGTCGCGTCACTATATCATTTATGGCGTCACCCTCCCCCTCAGTCAGGTCACGAGTCTAGTATTCTGAATCGTAATCAATAATAAAATCAACTTACCTTTCACCCGGCGGACGGCAGACATAACCAGCAGAACGGCCTCTGGGGTCCTCCACACACCTCACCACACTCACCACATCTCTCGTTAGTACAATTCTCACCAGTTCCAGACTAACACTCAGTAGTCATTTTTATAAAACTTTCGCAACAGTCGAAATTTATCTCTTTTCAATATTTTCAAAGTTCTCTTCAAGTTAAATTACAGGTTATAAAGTAATTCAATTCACCTGTTTAGTCTTTCTCTTCGTATGAGTAAATCGATCTGTAAGTTTGGCGATGATGTGACTTTTTGGAATTTTGTTTTTACGGTGCGAGGTGGTTTTTTTTCCAGTTTCACTCAAGATAGTCTGTCGTCGCCCCACAACACCCTCACGTCTTCACTCGACAGTGGCCAGGCGCCATCTGAAGACCGTGTGTGTACTGTCCGTGTTCCACGCCTCACTCCAGTTCTGCCTCCCCTGCCCCGCCCCCCAGCCCGACTCACAGCCAATCAGAACGTTTCTCTTTCCTTCGGGTGAATTTTGAATGGCCGTGAACATGCGGTGGACCGTGGGAAGGAGCCTCTGGGAACAAGCGGTAATATAACAGAGAGACATCCTCTACCGTTGCTCACAGGGGTACTTACTCTAGGGTCTACTACAGAACCTCATGGCGGTTTCCCTTTTGTTCTCTGGGTACACAACAGGATGGGCAGCCGCATGACCACCCAACAAGGTAAGGGTATGCATATTTTGACTAGAAGGGAAAGGTACGCATATTTTGACCTCAATGGAAAGGTACGCATATTTTGACCTCAGAAGGGAAGGGTGTGTATACAGTATTTTGACCTCAGAAGGGAAAGGTATGCATATTACCTCAGAAAGGAAAGGTATGTATATTTTGGCCTCAGAAGGGAAAGGTATGCATAATATGACCTTAGAAGGGAAGGGTATGGTATTTTCACCTCAGAAGGGAAGGCCATACATTTTTCACCGTGAACAGTGAATACATGACGACTCCTAGTAATGAAGGGTCGACGCACACGACAACACCACCAGCAGGAGGAACAAGAGACAAGATGACAACACCACCAGGAGGAGGAACAATAGACAAACACGCAACACCACCAGCAGGAGGAAACAACAGACAAACATGACAACACCACCAGCAGGAGGAATAACAGACAACATGACAACACCACCAGCAGGAGGAATACAGACGCACATGACAACACCACCAGCAGGAGGAATAACACGCACATATGACAACACCACCAGCAGGAGGAATAACAGACAACATGACAACACCACCAGCAGGAGGAATAACAGACAAGCATGACAACACCACCAGCAGGACACCAGCAGGAGGAATAACAGACGCACATGACAACAACACCACCAGGAGGAATAACAGACGCACATGACAACACCACCAGCAGGAGGAATAACAGACGCACATGACAACACCACCAGCAGGAGGAATAACAGACGCATGACAACACCACCAGCAGGAGGAATAATAGACGCACATGACAACACCACCAGCAGGAGGAATAATAGACGCACATGACAACACACCACCAGCAGGAGGAATAACAGACGCACATGACAACACCACCAGCAGGAGGAATAACAGACGCACATGACAACAATCACCAGCAGGAGGAATAACAGACGCACATGACAACACCACCAGCAGGAGGAATAGTAGACGCACAACAAATACCAGCAGGAGGAATAACAGACGCATTATGACAACACCACCAGCAGGAGGTATAACAGACGCACATGACAACACCACCAGCAGGAGGAACAACAGACGCACATGACAACACCACCAGCAGGAGGAATAGTAGACGCACATGACAACACCACCAGCAGGAGGGAACAACACGCCATGACAACACCACCAGCAGGAGGAACAACAGACGCACATGACAACACCACCAGCAGGAGGAATAGAGACGCACATGACAACACCACCAGCAGGAGGAATAACAGACGCACATGACAACACCACCAGCAGGAGGAACAACAGATATGACAACACACCAGCAGGAGGAATAACAGACGCACATGACAACACCACCAGCAGGAGGAACAACAGACGCACATGACAACACCACCAGCACGTAATGACTTCAACAAAGGCACGCGCATGACCTCATCGAAGTAAGTGCATGATAATGAGTGCGTCACCCTAGCCTGACACACACACACACACACACATGCACTAACGCATATGCACACACTCACACACACATACACTCACATGTACACACTTACACTCACAAACACATTTACACTCACACATATGTACTGTCTCACACACACGTACACTTTACACACATGCACTCACTCATACACACATGCACTCACATACACACACATATACTGTCGACATACACACACACATATACACTGCGACACACCCTTTCTGACACACACACACTCCACCCTCACTACTGTTATGGGAGGACTCCAATATTAAACTAGCAGGATTTCTTTACAGTTTTGTTCATGTCATATGTAAATTATTCGGATCACCTGAAGATTAGACACTTCAGTATACCGTATTTCACCTGGTGATCACTTACTGCTACCTGGGGAGATAGGTTAGGGTTAAGGAAAGGCAGGAAGGTAGGGGTAGGGGTAGGTAGGTAGGGTAGTAGGTTAGGTAGTAGGTAGGGGTAGGTAGGTTAGGGTAGGTAGGCAGGGGTAGGGGTAGGGTAGGTTAAGGTAGGGTAAGGTAGGTTAGGGTAGGGGTAGGTTAGGTAGAGTAGGTTAAGGTAGGTAGGTAGGGGTAGGTAGGAGGTAGGTTAGGGGTAGGTAGGTAGGTTAGGTAGGTCATGGAAGGTAGGTTAGGATAGGGAAGGAGGTAGGGAGGGTAGGGTAGGTTAGGTAGGTAGGTAGGGTAGAGTGTAGGTAGGCATTGGGTAGGGGTAGGTTAGGGTGTTAGGTAGGGGCAGGTTAGGTTAGGGTAGGGTAGGTGTGGTAGGTAGGTTAGGTAGGTTAGGTAGGTAGGCAGGTTAGTAGGTAGGGGTAGGGTAGGTTGGCGTAGGTAGGCAAGGTGGTAGGCAGGCAGTAGGGATGGAGGTTGTGCTAGGTTGTGGTAGGTTAGGGCTAGGTTGTGTAGGTAAGGCAGTTAGTTAGGGATGTGGTAGGTCAAGTTAGGTTAGGTTGTAGGCTAGGTTAGGCTAGGGATGTAGAAGTGTTTGGTTAGGGATGTGTAGGTCAGGTGTTAGGTTAGGTAGGTAGGTAAGGTTAGGTTAGGTTGTGGTAGGTTAGGTTAGGATGTGGTAGGTTAGGTTAGGTTGTGGTAGGTAAGGTTAGGTTGGGTTAGGTTGTGGTAGGTTAGGTTAGGTTAGGTTGTTGTTGGTTAGGTTAGGATGTGTACGGGTTAGGTTAGGTTAGATTTGGTTAGGTTAGGGTGAAATAAAATTTAGGTGTATAAACTTGGTGATTTATATTTTTGCGGAGTTTTGAGCCTTAATGATGGTACCTGAGAGCCAACATATAGGGTGTGTGTGTGTGTGTGAGAACAAACGCACATAAAGTACACACACACACACACACACACACGCAAGAAAGAGTATCGACAGTTAAGAATAAGTGTAATTGGATAAAGAAGTGTCTATATAAGTCAAGAAATAGAGGAAGAAATAAATACGATGAAATAAAAGAATAATTAAAATAGAGAAGAAATAAAGGACCCACCCCACCCTACCTTAACCTACCCCACCCTACCTTAACCTACCCTACCCTACCCTAACCCAACCCTACCTAACCTACCCTACCCTACGCTAACCTAACCTACCACATCCTAACCTAACCTAACCTTACCTACCACAACCTAACCTAACTTAACTTCTTCGTATGTCGTAAGCCTAACAGAGACTTAACTATCGTACCCAAACATCAAGACTCACTGGTACAGTGATTACTATCCCGGTCATCACATACCTGTAAAAAACGATAATGTACATCAGGTGAAAGTTTAATAATAATAATAATAATAATAATAATAATAATAATAATAATATAATAATAATAATAATAATAATAATAATAAAACATCTACATCAGTACACCAAAAATACTAATAATCATCAATTTCAAAAAAACACAATAATATAACATTACTAAATAAACAATAAAATTCTTGACATCAATAATTATTAAGAGGCATTACAAAAACTCGTTAACAGATTAGCGGAAAAAGGGAATAATATGGCTTAAGAGTTAATGCTGTAAAGACTCCTTCCCTTCCCTCCTCCCTCCCTCCGCCTGTCCCTCCTATCTCCCCCTTTCCTCCTCCGTCCCTCTTTCCCTCCATTCCTCTCACCCTCACCATTAGTCCTAACACTCGTAGCACCGCCACAGTCTCCTGCCGTATTACCAACGATATTATATTTATTACCACCACTACTACTACTACTACTGTTTCTACCACCACTACCACTACTTCTTCTACCATAACTACCACCACCACTGTGAGCAGGGGGTGGGGGGAGGAGGAGGAAGGGGCAAGTGTGAGGGTGTGAATGGGGGGTAGAGATGTGTGGGGAAGAGAAGGAGGAGGTGAGAGGGAGGAAGAGCACATCCGGGAGGGACCAGAGGTGATGTACTGGGGTGGGGGGGGGGGGGAATCACCTGGTCACTCCCTGCCATCTACGGAAGGTTGTACTGGCAAGTAACTAGAGATTACCACCCGGTCACTATCCTGTCAAGTACTGGGCGTCACCTATGTCACCCCAGTGTGTGCTTGTGTGTGTGTGTGTGTGTGTGTGTGTGTCACGCATATAATTCAACCGACTGTGCTGTACGTGATAAGTGCTTGATTACACGATGTACGTATCCGTGTCCTTGAAGGTATATTCCACTACAAAACACACACACACACACACACACACACACACACACACACAAACGTAAACACACTTAACTAACACCGCCCCCATGTCCACGCTAAGGGGAAAATATCATCGTTTATGTGGTCGAGCGGCTTCAAGATTCGCCTCCAAGACCGGCCCCTGATGATGGTGCT